ACCAGATCTAACTTGAGACCTGGGTACAGAAAATCTAATAAATTAAATGTATTTGCTAGGAATTTACAAGGAAAAAGAGAGACCCACAAAAAGTCTGAGTTCCAAATAGTTCAGTAATAAAATAACGAACACTATATTAATAGCGTGGTAGTTACTCCTTTTGTTTGATTTCTTTGCAATTACCTTTAATAAATTACTCTGCCTCCCCCATCACTCAAGTAAGTTGTCATCCAAAGGCACAATCAGTACAACACAGGACACAAAGCCACTCACAGATAGGAAAGGCACTAGGGAGGTTGGCTGGTGCCCCTAGAGCTGTGACTCATTAGAATCCATAAAGCTTTTCTTTAGAGATCAAGTATCAATGAGGCTATTGTAAAAGAATACAGCTATATAAATGTAGACTAGTTATGAATTCTCACAAGGCAAGAGGACTTTTCAAAAAGAGGCAAGGGTACCAATGCCTGGGAAACCACTCAACAGGTTCATTGCCTCAGTTGCCTAAGAGATGATCCCCATTTTTAATACGTTGATAAATACAGGGTAGTTCCTATAAAATGAAGGCATCTTGGTTCAGCACACCCTAAATGTATTGTGCCATTTTGCTGAGCTTTAGACCCTGATGGTTCCAAGTGTCAAGCATTAACTGTTGTTATGGGTCAGGAAAAAGACAAATAATTTCTATTAGCCTTAAATATTATTTTGCAGAAATCATAAGCCAAAAATAAAACAGATTTTTGTCACAAACAGCAGTAAAACACTTTGTTACATAGTTAAAAATTTGTACCTACCTTCATCACAATGAGTACTTCAATATTATAAATTATAATGAAAGTATTATTTTAGAAGGTATAAAAGCAGTTAAATGCTGTAAAATACATAAACCAAATTGGGTTTATATACAAGTTAAAATACCTTCTGTGAGTTGTTATTCATACCCAAATGACATGGGTTTGCAGTTCAGAATCAAGTATGTGGAAAGAACAGATAATGTAAAAGTGGACAGAAAACATGCTAGAATTTCAAAAGGGTGTTATCACAAACAAAATAGTTTCAGTATTTTTTCCTTAAAGACTCAGATAATATAATTTATCATCTAAAGTGACCACTAAATATTATAAAGTTCACATTTTCACAATCACCTTTTTAGATTTTATTTTACTTGAAATTTCAAGGAAAATTTTACCAATTTTTAAACAACGCCATGCTCAAAAGTATAGCTTTCCAGGCACTAACAGAAAAATTCTGTTTCCTTTAAAGAGTGCTTTTATTGGAAATCATTTACACCTGGTTGTTCCTTATGACTAATCATAACAGAGGCCAGAGAACCTCACCCGCGCCAACACCACTGGCCTAGAAACAAATCAACACACATAAAAGATCACTTGTTAATAATAAAGGCCAACCTTAGAGTTGTTGATTTTTCCATGTTTTGAAAGCATGCCAATGACTACTTTTGACATCATCATATATTACCTGCTGATGATCATAAATAAGTATTTCAAAATTTGGTCTTTGCATATTATCAAATATGTATTATAGTTGTCAGGCAGTTTCTTTAGAATCTGAAAATTGAAATTATCTCCCTCTTAAAAAATCATTCACCATTCACATATTTTCTTCAATAAATAATTTCATAAAATATTATTCTACAGCATATTCTGATCCTTATAAAACATTGTATAAATTTATAAAAACATTCCTTAGCCTCTTAATGAGATGGATAACTTATCTTTGAATCAAAGATAAAGCAAAGGAAAAAAAGATTGTTCTTGTTCCCAAATCAATAGTCATTTACTAAGATCTATTAATGTTATTTCAAAATATATATAAACTACACAATTTGCTGTTCCAGTCACCAGTGTATGACCTGCTTCTTGCTGCATAGGCTGAACCATCCATACCACTGTTCTTTGTGGAGTTGTTCATGTCCCCCCGGCTTTTCTGTTATACAAATTATTCAAGATAAATACATAAAAGGAACTCAAAATAATGAAAAAGTGAAAATAATGAAAATATGAAATGCTAAGGAATAAATACCTGGGACCAGAAGTAGGGGAGGTGGTTTTGCAATTTAAATGAAGAAAACCAGAAACAGCATAAAAGAATTCAGTTGTACCAATGAATGAAAAAGGGCTAAATTGTGAAACTAAAAAATGTCAAAGGCTAGAAGAGGTCTATGAGTAGAGAGAATAATGTGCCCTCAGAACTGTAAGAAATGGAAACTTGTAAGCCAGCAAAGACTGATTGTAGAGTTCCTTGGTAGGTGGATGGGTGGCTGGAAGTCAGCAATCCTTCTCTAGTAGTATCTCTTTTGTGTCAGTTTATTTCATTATTCATTATTTTAATTCATAGCAGAGCACAAGGTATGTTTTGCATCCCCTCCTGAGTTCACTGAAAAACTAAACCAGTATTTCAAGTTATATCAAGCTATGACTACCACTTAGCACTTTTACAGTTTTCAAGAGGTAAACATATCTCCTAGAAGATGACATTCTGTATAATTCCTTGCCCAGGGTCTGATTCCAAACTCTAGTCCTACACCACTACTATTTGCCTTCCTCAACCAAGTCAGAAGGCTTCATATTCTGTAAGTCAGTAAAACTTAAGAGGAAAATGTTATGACCCTAGCTTAAATAGAGACACGTTAACCAAGTTAACTCTGCTATGCTGAATCCTGGCAAGACCTGAAAGGTGCAGAGAGAAACCTAGGGGATGAAGGAGAGGGAAACATGGGGAAAACCAGACACAAAAAAAAAACCAAAGCAGACACATAAGTGCAATGTTATATTTGAAATGCACACCTACTAGAAATGACAAACACAGATTTTCTTATTTTATAGTAACGTGATTAAAAAAATGCCATAATTTTAATGTTAGAAAGATATATGGGATGTAGAATAAAAGAAGAAACTGACTTATTTGCTTCTACTTGTGGCATGGCTGATGTTAAACAAGTAACAGTAAGATAAGTACCAAGATTCCTACTAATACAGGTTCAAACTAGCAATAGGTTAACACAGGACTTCTGTTTGAATATTCATTACCACACAGAATTCGATCTGTATTTTGGAATAACCACTTGGGCAAAAGACACCCCTTGGTTACCAGCTGCAGGAGAGTTTCCACTCCTCTCAGAATGTGTTCTAATGCCCTAGGTCACTGATCTCATTCCCTTTCACATTGCCCTTGAAAATTTCACAGGGTTAGCCTAAGCAAGCTCTAAACCCTTCCTTAGGCAAGGCAGATGTAAAACAGTCAGGAGGAAATACTGGCAACAAGGATAATTAATGCTGCTTTATACAACTCCTGAAATTTTCCTTCTTTGTGCCTTAAGTGTCACTCCTTGGAAAGAAGTTCTGCAAGCTGTTCCCAACCTGCTTCATTTCTCATGTCCTCTTTAAAACCACTGCCCACATATTCTAAGAAATCAAACTTGTGTCCACCCTATAAGTTGTAACACAATCACCTCCACAAGGAGAAATACTCAGCAAAGAACTCCCTGGGAGGCAAAATCCTCAGATACCCACTGTCCCTCTTTTTCATGATCTCCCTCTCTCTTTTTCAGGTATTATAGATATGGTTACTTCGGTTTCCGTTTTTGGTGTGACAGTACCAACTAATCCATAATTTGCTTTGCCCCCCCCCCTTTTTTTAACAGGATACAGCATGCATTTGGGTAATCTTTTGGTTTGAAAAGTAGGCAGAAAATATTGATTTGAACACTGAGCAAGCGGTCATTTTTTATCCTTGTTTGGACATTTCATGACCTTATTCATAACCTCACAAACATTTTTTTAAACATGTGGACTTAGACCTTAACGCCTAGAAAGTGGAAAAAAAAAAATGCAAAAAAGAAACAAAAAATACCACCTATCATACCCTACTGAGGATTGTTCAGAAAATTCAAATCTCTTCAAAATGACAACTTGTTCTATTAGTGTTTAACTGAGGTGACTCTACTAAAAAAAGGAAGAGCTTGTTACTACTTTTCACATACTGAATGTCTCCATACAAATGTCTCGCTATATTCTACGCTGGTTCTTTTTACAATTCTCCCAGAAGCTGCCCTTGGTATCCTTAAATGCACTCTGAAATTTGGTATCACCTTCATTATGATGTGCTTTGTGCACATTCTCAGACGCTGCAATGCCCATACTAAGGCAACACATCCCCGAAGTTGGCAGCAATGCTATCAGCAAGAATTTGGCTTCAGAAACAGGAGTGATTCATCATACATTCTAGCAGAAGAAAAACAACACAACACTATTTTAATCTGCTAGTACTATCACGGATAAAGGCCAGTAAAATAATTAAGCAAAATCCTAATTTTGCATTATCAAAACAACAAAAATCATATCTGCTATTAACATTCATAAAAACATCCATTTGTAGGTTTCAATAAAAATCCATTAGAAGACAAATGACTACTTACCTTATTTCATAATATATAGTCTTAATTTAACACAATTCAGGAGAAAACAGGTAGTCCTAACTTTTTTCAAGTAATATATTGCAATTCTAAATTTAGAAGACTGCCTTAAAATTTCATTCCCTCCTAGTGTTTCAAAGTAATCCACTTCCTTCATCTCCCTCTCCATTTCTGAGATGACTCTAAAGTCTAAATGAGCGTGGGTGCTACTCTATCTACCACAGACCAAAACAGAAACTCGGTACAGTGGGCCATCTATTCAAAGGCATCCCTTCCCCCTGTTTTTTTTTTTTTTTCTTTTTCTTTTTTTTAAAAGGTACCTTAGTAGTGCCATAATAAATCCTACTGATCTAATAACACGGTCATTTTTACTTTATGAGAACATCGTATGTTGATGATCATTAGGATTATCAACCAATGTTTTCACAGAACTATCCACGTAAATTTACGACTTACTGTAAATAAAAACTTTTAAAATATGCTTCTCCATGGTTGTGACCAAGTCTTCTGAGGCGGCGGGGAGATTTATCAAGAACTACACTCAGTGCTCCTTTTCGGGGACCCCTACCTTTGCAAACACTTCTTCCGTTTCCTTTCGTTTCCGTTTTCGGGGTCTCCGGTTCACTTGAATCCATTTCGCGACCTGAAGTTCAAAAACCACACAGCATTTGAAACAGGACGACGGTGTCACCGGGAGAAAGCAAAGGGTCGACGGACTGGCTCCACCTGACCAGTCGCCGGCAGTTTTCAAGGTTCGCCGGGCCACCTTCACGCCGGGGCCTTCGGGGCGCCCGCGCGGGCGGCGCGCCAAGGCCGTGACCTCCGCCCGGCCGCTCTCTGCGGCCACTCGCGCCAGGGCGCCCGCCAAAGGGCCATCTCCTCCCGCACAGCAGCGCGTCGGCACCGGTCAGCCTCCGCGGGCAGTGCGGAGGCGACGCGGAACCCGCCGCTCAGGACGGAGGGGCGCCAGCACCCGACGGCCGCACTCACCTCGGCTCTCACTTGCCGCGCGAGCCCGCACTCCTCACGGGCCTGGTGTTCCCTCCGCAGGAGCTGCGGGGACAGGGACAGAGTCAAGTTTAGCCTAGGAGCCGTCCCTGTCTACCTCCCCCTCCCCACCCACTCGCTCCCCTACCTCGGACCTCGCCCGCGACAGGCGAGGGTGGGCACGGGCGCCCGCTCGCCCGGCCGCCGGCCCCCCAGGGCCAGCGCGGAGCCGCGGGCGCCGGGAGCCCGCCCAACCTCAGGCGCCGCGCGGGCGGGGCAGGAGCTGGTCGGGGGCGGGGCCAGCCTTAAAGGTACACGAGGCGCGCCACCGCCCTGCAGGTCGCCCTCCCCGCCCCCACCCCGCGCAGTCTGTTTTATTGTTCTCTGGGCAAACCTCTTTCTTTCCCCTGGGCTCCAAGCCGCGGCCGCGACCTGCAACTCGCGGGTTTTGCTCCGCGCACAGGTTTCACCTTTCTAGCTTCCACCCCAGGCGCCCCCTGGTTCCCACGAAAGGGTCTCCGGGACGTGGTGACTGTCGAAGTGCCCGCTGGCGGTCGAAAGGGCTAAGCCGGAGACGCGCCCCAACCCCCTCGGCCACTCTGAAGTCGTGCCGCGGGTCTGCCACCTACGTGTCTAGAAGGCTTGCCCGAGGAACAGAACGGAACTCTCCTAATGGAGTTTTCTCAGTTAATAAACTAAACACCACGAAGCATATGCTATTCCATGGTCGCTCCGAACGCCGTGGCAGGTTACATCTCCCCTGACAAGCTAGGAGCGCAGGAAAGGGAAAACCCGCGCAGTTCCCGCGCGTCACCGGAGTCCTTGAGCTCTGCCAAAGCGCAGCCGACCTAGCACTCTCCAGTTTAGGGAGCCCCAAAGCCCCCTGAGCAGAACTGATAAAGGGTATGGTCTGTCCTCTTAATTAGGGGGAAGTTTCCACGTAGTATTTCAAAGTGTGAGACAAGTTTTTCCGCTGACTGCCCCAAACTTTTGCCCCAGACACTTCAGAAGTTAGCTGAAACAAACTGGGGGTGCGCACTTGAAGAGTCGGGTCGCAGTTGTGTTTGCTGATTTTGACCATCCCTTCAACTTTATCGCATTTCTTTAAAGAAAATCTGTCTTGCCCTCTCTTTATTGCTACTCCATCCTTCTTTCAAGATCAAAAGCTTTAGATCAAAGCCAAGATCAAACTCACTACTTTAAATAGAAGCAACTTTGCCATGGAGTATTTTACACAAAGAAGAGCTTCTTAATGGAGACATCAGAGTAGAAAACTTTATTTTATCCCTTCATCCCATATTCATTACTGAGCCACTAAAATTACATTGATGCTGCGTGTGTCTTTTTCCTAAAATAAACAACAGGTCTCAAGTAGAGGATTCTTGACTTACTGTTTGTGTTTCCAAGCATAGGAAAAAACTCTAACTGGAAAGATTTAACTATTTTGTATCACTATTAACTAAGTGCCACCAAATGGAAGGTCCGTTTGTCAAAGGTTTATCAACATGTTATCTAGTTTTACCCATCATTACAATTTTTTTTTTACTATAACCTACATTTATAAAGAGCGGAAGATTTGCAAATCTCGAGTACACGTACACAAACATACGAATGATGAACTTGTGTGATTGCAAGGTTGGCTAATTTTAATGGACATAAAACTGAACTATTTAAGCCTCTATAATACTTTTAACAGTTCCAGAATCAATAGAAATCTATCACTGGCAGACACATCTCTTTACCACTAGGTTTTTCCTTGGGACATTATTTTCTCTATAGTCGAATCCTTCTTAAATGGATTTTTCTTAAAATGTCCTCTGTTGATTTATCAACAGTCTTTAAACATGAAGTCTTAGAAGAAACAAAAACTGAATTTCAATAATTCAAAAGTAAGAATAAAGATAATTATTCAAGTGAAGCCTAACACAAGCTTTTATGGAAATTTGTTGTTACAGCTGAGTAGTTAGTACTGCCAATTCTCATGTGGATGTACTTAAATAGACACACACACACACACACACACACACACACACGATCATTCCTCATTCTATAATTCCCAGTCACTAAAGAGTCTTAGGAATTGAGAACTTGGAGCCCCATTTTGCTGCCACTGACAGTTTCCTTTTTTCCTAGCACCCAGTCCATTGAGAGCTAAGGATTTCTGGCATCAGCTGTGGAAAGAAACATCCTACTGTCACTTGGCTCTTCTAGAACTTTGAGTGGGTAGCAAAAGCTATAGTCCACTCTTAAGTGCCTTCCTTCTCTGTACTTTGCTCCACCAGCTCACCTCCAAAACTCATACAGTAAATCAGAATATCTCCAAAGGTAGTTCAAATGATACCACTGTGCTTTACTAAGAATGCATTTCCTTCTTTTCTTAGCTGCTTTCTACTTTTTCTCTAGCTCTGAGCTTACATTTCTCTAGAAAGGTATTTGCTTCAAATTATGTCACCCATTATTTAATAGCTTCCTATTTCTTCCCTTTAACGTAACTATCTTTAATTTCAAGACTTCACTTTTTGAATAGTTAACAGATAAAATGGTCAGAAAGTACAGAGCTCCCATATACCAACAAACCAGTTTCCTCCATTATTAATATTCTGGATTAAGTGGCCATTTGTTACAATTGGTGATACATATTTTATTGGTATTTTAATATATATTTGATATATCATTATTAACTACTCCCTAACATTAGGGTTCATTCTTTGTAGTATATAGTTCTATTATAGCTATATTTAAAAACTAATTCATTGAATATCTGTGTCCCCACCTGGATTTTTTTTTAAAGATTTATTCATTTATTCACACACAACTGGGGTACAGGCCAGAGATGCAGGAGGGTGAGAGGCTTCACCAGAGACAGAGTGGGGAGCAGAACAGGCAGATAGAGTAGGTCCACTGCTGAGGGGAGCAGTGGGCAGGTCAGGGGAGGTCTGTGGCCATGTGGAGCTCCTCCAGGGCAGGCGGGGATCCAACTCATGGAAAGTGGCTTAAGCTTCTTAGTGCAGCTCTTTAACCCGCTGCGCCAAAAAGGAGGGCCCCCACCTGGACTTTTAAGGTTCAAGAAGAAAGAAATCTGGTCTCCTTTGCTCTTGATTTTTGTGCAGTCACTAAAATATTTGCGTGGCATATAATACAAACTCAATAAATATAAGAATTAAGTGAGTGGAGGAAAAAAGAACACTTAAATATCTATGAAAGTTCAAGGGAGTCAGTCTTCAGTGACGACTTTTCACTCCTGTTTGTTTCGCCACTAAAATACCTTAGATTTTAACATGTAAATAGAGAAACCATGAAATATCAGTTACACTGCAGGAATATTTCTAAAATGAGTTTTTTAAAACTAGAAATGAAAATCAGGGTATCTAATTTCCTCAACTATTTGTCACAAACATTGTTTTTAGAGGCTGAATTTAACCTAGAATTAAATATTAACATATAAGTAGCAAAATATTAACCATTTTCTCATTTTATTCATCTAAATCTCATTTAATTCATGGTTGATCACTGTCAAGGCAGGATAATGAAGACACTGGAGGAAGACAGCTTCTGTAGAAACTGGAATGCCCTAGCCTTGGATTACTATCTTTCAAAATCCGGTGAAAGCACTAAAATTAAAAACAAAAATTTCTACTTGAACTGTATCTTTAAAAATGCCTCATCTAATAGAGATGTAAGTTTCTAAAAGAAGTTGGTCTAAGAAACTTACTGTCAAAGCAGTTTATAGTAGCTGAAACCCATTTCAGAGGCTGAGCAAAATGCCATTGCTTTAAAATAAAAGCTTTACTTAACCTACTGGCTGGAGATTACTTTTGAGGGAAAACCATTTTCTGCTTTCTTCTTTTCACTCAAAAGGAAATTACTCCTTTCACAGAAAAAATGAGAGTGATACCAGTTTCACATTGTTAAAATGTGTGTTCTCTTCCTGCTTTTGCTTTGTGATGCGGTACAATCCAGAGGAATCTCTCTCTCTTTCACACACACACACACACACACACACACGCACACACGCACACATGCACGCACGCACACATGTACACACGTGCCTCCTGGTGTATCAGAAGACTGAGCGTGCGAACAAGGGGAAGCCCTTTAATTAAACCAAACAGCCTTAGGTAGCAAATTATTCTCCCTTTGACATAGCAGAGACAAAACTACTCCCTAAGTCAAAATACCTTTTACTACCAAACAAGGCAGATATATCCCAAAGCATTTGCTGGTTTCAGAAGGGCTCTAAATTGTATTCAGGGAAAGTTATAAAATTTTACAGGTCTGGAAATAAAATAAAGTTTAGTTTAAACTGCTAATAATAAGGATTACAGACAAAGTGATCACATTTTTTTTGTTCTATTGTTTTGAATTGTATTTCTCTATGATACCTATTTAATTGACTGTAGAAAAATTTTATAACAGTATCTATACACACTTTATTGATTAATTTGTGTTTGTATTAGAACAGATTCTTAATTTCTTTATGGAGAGAGTTCTGGCCCAACTAAATAAACATCTTAGTGAAAGTCCTTCTAAAGCCTAGTTTTCAAACTAGGCAAACCATCCCACTCTTGGGCTGCAGTGAACTGATTAATTGATAGAACTTCTTCCCGTTAGTAACAATAACCAAGAACTCACTATTGCTCAAATGTACGGTATATATTTTAGATTGTGGGTTTGCACCTCTTCAGATATATGCTACCATACCATGCCATCACCAAGTCACCAAAAGTACTCCAGTGGCCCCTCTATTCCTTTACTCCCCACATCTACTCTCCCTCTATGGTTGCCTCAGCCCTCAGATTTTTAATGTCCTGATATAGTTTTATCAGTTCTTTATGTTGTTTGTTTCTTTATATTCCACATATGAAATAAAATCCTTTGGTATTTGCATTTCTTCTTCTGTTTGGTTTTGCATAACATAATTCCTTCTAGCTCCATCCATGTTGTCATAAATGGCAAGATTTCATCTTTGTTATGAGTAGTATTCCATCATATAACTACACATCTTCTTTGTCCACTACTATGTTATTGAGCACTTACCTTAGTTTAGTGTGTATGTCTTATTTTCA